AATTAATTTTTTTTTACATCTCTTCCCTCAGGTTATACCCACAGTGAAGGGGCCTCTTCCTTTGCCAACCAGTATTGCCTCGGGCAATTCCATGTCGAGTCCATTCCTGATGCCATCTCACATCAACCCATTTCTCCACAGCAGTGCCCAGCAGTGCACTGTAACTCTGCCCCCGCTGTATCACAAGTCGGGGTCAAGTGCATATTTTGGTATGGACACTTTTGACACTCTTGCCCCACCACTGGACTCCCTGGACAGTCTCACCGACTTTAAAACAGGTATGCTACTTTGTTACCTGGCCTGCTTAACCATGAGGTCAGAGTTAATATTGTACATATTACTATAAGAAATATATCTGATAAGCTAATAGTTAACCTGCTTATTCATTTGAGCTTTTCTCCTCTCTTTTAAAATGTCAGATTATGGTCAAAGTCCATTCATTCAACAGGTAATTTTTGTTCATGTTATTATTATTGATATTATTAGGTATTGTCAGTCTAGACATGGTTAGAGGCTTATATTTGGTCTTTTTTTCCTAAACAGCTGAACAATATTGATACCCCAATGGGAATGGCTGTGGGTATGCCTGAAGTAAAGGGTCTTCCTGCTGCTGTGGATTTGGCAAAGAACCCCTTAGCTGAAACGCATGAATTCAAACAGGCGTGCTCAATCTGCTATGTCAAAACTGGTGAGGAGTTGTGTTTACAGTGCACAGGTGTGTGTCTGATCAGCGTCTTTTAAGGTTTGTTCTAATATGATGTTTTTGTGGGTTTTTTTTACTATCCACAGGGCCTGGTGTGTTAGATTACACACTTCATACAGAAGAGCATAAATGCAAAAAGGATGCTTTGCTCGGTAGACTCAAACATTCGCCAGACAAAACGTGGAAGCTCATTCGGCCCAGACCGACAAAAACCCAATATGTTGGACCTTATTACATTTGCAAAGGTAACGTTTTTATATGGGTAAAAAAATAACTCTGTATTAGCTCCTTCTTAACTGTTTTCTTTCTTTTTAACCTACAAAAAACTAACTTATTTTTCTATTAAAATAAGATCGTAGATCCCTCATTTTGTAATGAAGATAAAAAAAAGAGAAAAAAGTCAGTTAACCTTGGCATGTTTAAATTTACTTACTACTAGTACTTCCTCTATTTTATTTCAGCATGCCATATATATTTCCCTACCTAACCTTTCTTATTAAATGTAAATATACACATTATTTGAGGAGCATTTGTTTCTTTGTTACCTCTCACACTTTGCTGCTGTTGAATGTGTAAGTCATGTATAAGTGCTAATACTAAAAAGTGACCTGCGTTGTTGCAGAGGTGGCTGTTGGGAAGGAGTGCCTGTATCCTGGCCACTGTACATTTGCATACTGCCAGGAAGAGATTGATGTTTGGACTCTGGAGCGAAAAGGATTCATCTCCAGAGAACTACTCTTTGATCCTTATGGGCCCAACTCCAACGTCAGGCTCACTGTCCCAAAGATCTTACAAGAGCATCATGGGATATTCATGTTCCTCTGTGGGGTCAGTATATACTTGGCTTCTTCTTTCAAAACTAGTATGACCTCTTTAACTGCAGTTGTCAATGACGCCCATTGGCAGTGTTGTGTTGCATTCCTTTGTGAGAGGAAAGTGTTCAGTTGCAACTGGATATTTACCTCAAAGACGTGTTTCAAATAATCTTCTGCTGTCAGGACAACAGATGATCGTTCACAATGAGCCACAACATTTCTAAGCACTGCTTTATTCAGAGCGCAATTGGAAAATAAGGCCATTAAATACAGGAATGTTAATGCGATAAATAGTATATGAGAAATTAAATGTTATTGGAGCTGCTGGCATACCCGGATCATTGTGTTTTTCTGGCATATTGAACTTTTCCCAAATACATTTTGTTTAATTTGCAGGTGTGCTTTGACCACAAACCGAGAATAATCAGCAAAACCAACAAAGATGATCCTTCAGTTTGCTCTCATCCAGTGACGAAGCATGACTTTGAGGATCAGAAGTAAGTCATTTCCTGTTTTATAGCTCTGAAACAGCATTTGGCTTATCAATTTATAGTTCAAGTAGTCAGTCAAAGCAAACAAGCCCAAATATGTGAGGGAGTAATAGCAGGATAAGCACATAAACATTGTTTTGTCTTTCAGGTGCCTGGTCCACATTTTGAAGGAGAACACAGTGCGTTATTCCAAAATCAGACCATTGAATCCTCATTGCCAGCTGGATCTTTGTCGCCATGAAGTCCGCTACGGCTGCGTGAGAGAGGACGACTGCTTCTACGCCCACAGCCTTATCGAGCTGAAGGTCTGGATGATGCAACATGAGCTCGGTAAGACTGCTTCTTAAAACACTTGTCCAAGGACTAGAACATTAATAAAATATTTAGAAGAACTGTATCCCAAGGTTCTTTTATTCCAAAATGCTCTTTTATTTCCTACTTTCCAACAAGGAACACCTTTTGCACTATTTTTTCACTGCTAAATTTCTTCTTTTTACTTTCATTTACTCCATGTAGGTATCACTCCTGAAAGTATTGTCCAAGAGGCAAAAAAGTTTTGGAATGCAACAGCTTCATTGCAGGGAGCCCAGGTAAGCCCAGTATAAATAGATGTGTCTTACATTTGTTTTTTTGTGTGTTTTTAACTAAACTCTGGTTTAAAATCTTTGTGAATTGAATGTGTGATACAGAACAACCGTGATAACTAAAATATTAAATCAAATTTGATCAGCAGCTTTCCAGTGCACAGAGGAGGTTTGGGCCTCCAAATCTGAAGATGATGTTTGTCTGCGGCCAGTGCTGGAGAAATGGCCAACTCAGCGAAGCTGACAAAAACAAGAAATATTGCTCAGCCAAGGCAAGACACACGTGAGTATTACATGTGTGCGTTATGGACAGCAGCTGAAGGGATCATTCCAATGCATGACCACAAACTCAGTTTCTATCTTTCTGTCTTAGGTGGGCAAAAGACAGGCGGGTGGTGCTTGTAAGTTCCCATGAAAGGAAAAAGTGGACAACGGTTAGACCACTTCCAACCAAAAAACCCATCCCATCTCAGTTTGAGGTAAACGTCTCTTCTACCCCAAAGTTGTTTTTTTATTTCTCATTTAAACACTCCAGCATTTTATTTTTTTTTTCTTATTAACCAAATATTGTTTTTCTGTCTCAGATTTGCATGCATGTGACAGCTGGCAAGAAGTGTCAGTACATTGGAAATTGCACATTTGCCCACAGCATAGAAGAAAGAGACCTTTGGACCTACATGAAGGAAAACAACAGTGAGTTTGGTCAAGGAATTGGCTCTCTTTTCTTGGTGGAAATTTAATTAGCACAATTCAGTTAGTATGTGATGCACCAGAAATAATCACACTAATTTCATCCCCTCATTTAGTTCCAGATATGGATCAGCTTTATGAGCAGTGGCTGCAGTCTCAGAGGCCTGGCTGGGGTGAAGAGACCTCCAATAACTCTGTTAGGGAGAACGGCAAACAGATCCACATGCCAACAGACTACGCTGAAGAAGTGGTGAGTTTGAATGTCCAGTAAATATGAAACGGTGATCTTGTCCGGTGATAAACACAAGGTTACTGGTCAGTAGAATTCAGCTGTATTGAATTTTTTAATTTAACTGCTTAAATTGTGACACATTAGCAGCTGTATTGTATTTCCTTTTTACTTTCTCCTGGTAGATTATCATTTAGCTGTCAGAATCTGTCCATGCAGTAAAAACTATTAGCGTCTAATGGTTAAATTGCGTGAACATTTTGATAGAATCTAGTTTGAATGTAGATGTGCCAAGTGATTAGAATAAACAGCAATAAATTCGAATGATTAAGAAACAGTAATTAGTGTAAAATGAGATTTCTCTTGTTTGTTTTTTTTTGCAGGCTGGCAATCACTGTTGGCTGTGTGGTAAAAACTGCAACAGTGAGAAACAGTGGCAGCAGCACATCACTTCAGAAAAACACAAAGACAGAGTTTTCAACTCTGAGGATGATCAGAACTGCTGGCAGTATCGATTTCCCACAGGCACTTTCAAAGTTTGTGAGAGGTGAGATTATCAGCCACAGCCGACGGCGCTTCTCGAGTTACCAGTCTGATTCCAGTAGTTTTTGATGGTTGACATTTGATCTTGTGTTCTGACAGATTCCTCAAATGCACATGCACAGAGGATGACCTGTGTAAGCTGGCACACGGGGAACAGGAACTAAAAGAGTGGATGGAGCGCAGGGAATTCCTTTTGATGAAACTTGCCAAAGCCAGAAAAGACCATCTTATAGCACCAAATGACAATGACTTTGGAAAATACAGTTTTCTGCTTAAAGACATTATTTAATGATGTGATGACAATATTCATGCTCTCTTGCAAATAATGCAGTATTCAAACAGTCTTGAGTCAGGTGATCCTTGAAGGGCCTCTGAGGTGCGCAGGAAATAGCCTGATCACAGCATGATTTTAAAGATGACGTTCGGGACCGGCCCTCTGATTGGTGGCTGGTTTACTCTGATCTGAACTACAGGAAGTCTTGTCGTTAACAGCGAATACTGAGTGTAAGACACTCGAAGCTTTGCTATGCATCATCCAGTAGAATATCTGATAATGGTGATGAGAATAGCATGTTGTAAACCTTGAGCCGAGACGTGTTCTTTCATTTGACCTAAACAAAGTAATTTCTTTTCATAAACGGTTTGTATATGTTAATTACATTTACCCTTCAATAAGTTTAAAGTATGGAATACTTCAATTGAGAGTTCAGTTGACATTCTCACTTTCCATTTATCTAATAGTGTTACCAGTGTAATGGGCACCACACCAAATAAAGCCTCTTTTTTAATCTGTGTTTAAACTGCTGTGTGTTTTATTAATTACACATGGAGCTTTTATGATATTCTGTCCTTGGAAAAACAGGTTTAGGTCGGATCTAACAGTCTCAATTTGTCAGTGCGATACATATGAATATTTAAATTCAGTGTTCACTAGAGAAAATAAGGTACTTGAAAATCATCTGTCATCTTTATTGAATATTTGTAAAACCATCTGGCATCTTATATTCAAATGAATACCAAATTATTACAAAACATTACGCTAGTGATATAATCTGACATGACATTTCCAAAGATAAGTTAATGATACAAGATGCCCCCGTACCTGGATGGTGTTATTCTCCTCCTGCAGAATAATTATTTAAAAGGAGGATGGTTGGTAAGGTTATTCCTTTAGCTGGAAAACTTGTGTGTTTTATCTGTATGTTGGCAATTATCCTCAAGAGGTGCACTTCAGGTACATGTTTATTACACCGTAAAACCTCAGAACATAGAAATAGAAATCCAGCATTAGTCCTACAGCTCTACTTCTTCTCTATAAGACTGACCTCCTCGGAGTAGGAGTCATGTGAGAAATAACTTCTATTATTTAACTGTGTCACACGTCACAGTGTAAATACAGCTTTCCCATGTCATGTCATGTCTTTGTCACTCTTGCATCACACCTCCCGGTCAGTATCCTGACATCTTAGGAGAATGTGCCGTTCAGTCCGGAGTTTTTTTTCCCTCCATTTGTCAAGAATCCCTTAAATACTGCCTACCCAGCTGCACAGACATGACAGGAGCAGGTCGTACTGCCACCAGGGAAGGTGGAATTTCCACCAACAGCTCTGCATTCAGGCCAGCACCTGCTGCAGGTCCTCCACCTCCAGCTTCCACATCCGCCTGTGAAGCGCGGCGAGCTCGGAGAGGTCTGCCATCTTCACTGCACGGATGACTGGCTCCGGGGAGACGGCCTGGATGACACCCATCACCATGACATATTTGCCTGTAAGAAGAAAAACAGCAGCAGGTGGTCAATTGTTCAGTGACAATAGATTCAAGGAAACAAGGATGGTGATACGGGGGAGTTGTGGCTGGTTTTCAGATAAAGATATTCATGTGTGGTCGTTATTTTGAAGCGTAATGTTCCTGCTTTAGGGACAATTTGCTGTAGGAGACTCGCATGTAAATAAACCTGTAGTCATGTGAACCGGACAACTGACTGCACTGTGGTTGGAGAGTCATTCAGTCAGTTTTCAAGAAAGAAATCCCAAATATTCTCCAGTTCTAACTCCTAATTTGGTAAATTATTTGTGAGAATTTGCTTTTTTTTGTTTGGTTAAATTAATTAAATTGAATATCTGAGTTTTGGACTGGCTGTTGGATATAAGATATCTGATGACTCTGAGAAACTGGGACGGACATTTTTCAGGTCTCAAAACATTTTATAACAAAAATAATTAGCAGACTAATCAATAATGAAAATAATGATTAGTTGCAGTCCTAATGTGTTCACAAACAATGAAACCATCAGAGACCATCTGACATACTGAGCCTATCTGGGCCCCTGGGGGTCTTGGGCCCTGGGGCAGTTGCTCACTTTGCTGGGTTTACAAAGTACAACACTTTTTTTTTTGGTTTATTATTTATATCCAGACCTGATTTTGAGTGTTTCTGTAGATCAGGGAAACAAAGGTACACCACACCTGCAACATAAACACTCTTAATATGACTTCAGTCAATCAGAAACCAACTTCAGTCTGCTTTATTTACCTTGGGACAAACATGGCTTCCCCTTGGGGATGTTGTTGACACCTTGAACAGCAAAGGTCCCCGTCTCATCCATCAGCAGCACGGTGTTTCTGTCCAACTGGACCTCCAGTACAGTTCCCTGCATCCACACCAGTGAGACCGGCAGAGAGCGACCCCTGCCCAGCCTGATAACACACCCATCTCCGCTGTCGGCGGTCCCCCAGTTCTCCGCCGTCCTCAGCTGACCGGACAGCACTTTAACGGGCGGCGGGCGTTTCCTCTCTACGGTTGTGTTCAAAGTTTTGGACATTACAGTCTGCTGCTGTCCTCCGACGGTGGTCCGAGGCTGGGAAAGTTTGTATTACACGCGTCCCGCCAAGTAAAATGTTACGCCGGAAGTTGTGGGTGTGTTTTTCTGCCAGGAACCACTTCAGTTCCGGTCCGCAATCCTTCAGAGTAAAAGCATCACCTGAACGCTCCGAAAGTGGAATGTATCTAATTACATTTACTGAAGTACTGTGCTGAATAAAGGTGCTATTTCCTATTTATGCAACTTAATCCACTACATATCAGAGACAAATACTGTACCTTTTACTCCATTACATTTATCTGTTAGCTCTAGTTACAAGCTACTTTTCAGATTACATGTTTTCATCCCCCCCTGTCCAGTGAAAACTGTGTATCTCCAATGTAGGTGATTTTAAATCAGATTTTTTAAAAAAGGATTGGACCCTTAATCCTTCTTAATGGGTTGAAAAAAAATCTCCTACTTTGTAAGTTAAATAAGCTGTTTGAAATCCCCCCTCATTTAACATACATACACACATTGTCAAAAAGGCTAAACACAGGGATATGTGGTTCTCCAGGACAGCGATGCTACACACATATGATAATCTTATAACATATGATGCATTGCTGTAGATTAAACTACCCAACAGAATATAAATTAGTTAAAATTTGCTCAACCATAAACCTCTACAGCAATAAAACGCAACATACAAATGAATGCAGCATTAATATTAATCCAAAAACATCATATATAACACTGATCTGAACAGTGATCATTTTTCTGTACTTCTACTTTTGATATGTGAAGTACATTCTGAATGCAGGAAATTTCCTTTAAGTGGAGTATTTTCGTGGTATTGGTACTTTAACTCAAGAATCTGAATGCTTCCTCCGCCACAGCCCCCAGTGTACAACTCTTTTTTGAGAATAAAATACATGAATATTTTTGGTTATGCATTAAGAATCACACTATCATTCAGCCATTTTATTGTAGAAAGGTCAGGTGGGAACTTTTTTTTTAATTTATTTTTTTTAAAGCTGTTAACTTTCTGCAGTTCCATCCTCTCGGGTAATTTTTCAACTTTTGACATTTATGACATGAAAGTCAACAAGAAGGGGAACAAGATTTGAAAGTCATGCCTTTACATTTTGACTACATGGTGGATTCTGATTTCAATGTATTTGTTTTTATTAGAATGGGTATGAGATTAAAAAATGTACATGACATTAGCCCCCGGGGACACTTCATCTGGTACAGGAAAACATTTTTGTCATGTGTTTAGAGAAATAGAAGCATATGTAACTGCATTGTGTTATTTGTCACCAGTTTTGGCAACTTGAGTCTCAGTGCTGGTGTGAACTGCAAATTATAGGGATGACTAAAGTTGAAATACTGTTAATTCCTTTCGAAGAATACGGTTATGAAAAATAACAACAAAATGATGATGTACCACTTATTAGAAAAACACAATCAGCAGAAGTTGCTTTAACCATATCTTCATCTTTTAAGATACAAGGCTGCTAATTAATGTCACGCTGTCTTAAAATAATCCACCAATTAACTCTGCAAGTCATGAAAATCATTTTGATACTCACCCCAGTAATGACAAGTGAAATAAGGCTGTTTGGAATACTAGCCTAATGTGTTTTGTTTAATTTCCTCCATTCAGAGGCGTCCTGCTGAATAGAGCACTTCACGTGGGATACATGGGGAAAAAAGTAGAAGATAGTTCTATTGTCTGAGACCAAGATCAAGCATCTTGGCCGTCATACTAAAAGCTATGTTTAATATAAGCCAAACATACACATCACAGCAGGCCCGGGAGGCTTGTAAAGGTAAATACAGAGAAATCCTACAAGGGAACTACTACTTATTTTTCTTTTTTTTAAAACTAATTTTTCAGCAAGAGATGACCCTTTAAAAGACAGATGTTACCATCCTGGGTGGCCAAATTTCAATCTAATCCACAATTTGTGGCAAGACCTGAACCTACACTTGCCAGAGGATGGTGGTTTAGCAAAGAGAAACTGGGAAGACCTGCTTTGTCCAAATGTGTAAAACTTTGGTTCCACACAAAGTGAATCAAACATAAATGTAGACAAAGTTTATATGGATACAAACAACAATGCCCTAGTGCATTCATTTCATTAAATAAGTTTTATTTCTTTAAGAATAACTGAAGAAAAGTGTTAGCAATTTCTGTACAATTGTTTCATCATTTTCCCTTGGATTTGCTGAAAACCTTGAATGATCAACAGGGCTGAGAAATGTTATGCTGCCACATAGTGCACTTTTAACCTAAAAACAATATGATTAGTCCACAGGCATTCGTCCGTTTCCTTCCAATATATTCCAAGATGTTCCTTAAGCCTCACTGTTGACTCCAGTTTCATTTTTCATTGGCTCCTCCACTCAATCCCAGTTCAACGTCAAAAAAAGAGGCACATTAGAAATACTGCCATTTTCCAAGGACTGTGTCTTTGATTGCATCGACAAACTGTGCAGGCACCCAGTAGACCCAATATTGAGAAGCTTCTGTTGGACCCAACTGAAAAGCCTAAGAAAAGTGGGGCAGAAAAAGACACTTAATCACATTTAATGATTTTACAGATGTGAGATATAACTGTAAACTCACAAATCAACATGACATCTGTAGGTATTAGGTTAGATAACGCCATTTTGACAGCTGGAATGACATGCATCATCTCTGCATGTTTGCTGCATAACAAAACAATGCTTTTAAAATAAATCAACATTCAAAGACCTGACAGCTGGGTATACTACTGTGCATAATATACTGGCTAACATAAAAGTTCAAAGTTCAAGTAAACAGGGTGGATCACTGATATCAATGGCTGGGAATGTCTTGCCACAATTACATTTCAGATCATGTTCGTGTTCTCTCCCATCGACTCCTCATCATACATTATCAACTCCTCAGTGATGCAAGATTCAGTGGCATCTAGCGGTGTAGTTGCTCTGAGCGAATAGCTGGCATCACATTTCATTCGTGAGCCACAACATTAAAAAACAAAGTCATTGTACTTCCACTATTCTGCACTGCAGGCATAGCAACACATTGATCCATACAGGGAAACACAAGAACAAACTCCTGCTGATTTTTACTGGCTTACACAGTCTGATCTCACCTACGTGGTCAGTCAGTGGGAGGTGGTAATAAACCTCAATAACTACTGGGAATTCCCTCAAGTTTTAATAGCTTAGATTTTATATCTGAGTTTAAATGCACTGACATTCAACAGCCTTATACTGTCAGTCTGTACAACACTGAAATGTTCTGGTCTTTTTTATTTGCCATTCATGTAAAAAGTACAGGACATGAATACGAGATGTAAGATGCTGTCTGTAATTACAGGTATAGGTAGGTTTAGTTAGCTCCAGTTCAAAAACACATAAGTTATTCATCAAAAGGAGCTCCACCACATTCTCCTGAACTTTGAATTCTTTATACCGAGGCTGTTATGACACATAATTTTTGCTCTTTTAAAAGCAGATCTTGATCTCCGTGAGACAAGCCGATTCAATTAAGTTACTCGTTCCGGGACTTCTATTTCACTGACAGTGAAGAACAGGAGTGCTTCTAGACGGAAAGGTTAATCTGGAGAAAGCACTGACATTTCCCGCTCCACTGCAGAGCCCAAAACAGCAAACAGTGACCCCATCACTCTGATGCACACATACTACGGACTTCAGAGAACAGAACTCAACCTGCACTCTTCACTTCCACAAAAGACCTTTCATAAACAAAACACAATAATTTAATGCAACAAACAAACATATCTGGTCTGTTCCTTAGCAGTTATAATGATCATATATGCTTCACCTTACTACATTTTAGTAGTTAGTTACATTATGACCTGTATGCACGCTTGTTTCAGCCTCTGAGCGTTTAGCATCATGACCTTTTACAATATAGAGTCTGAAATGCAGTAGCAGCAAGAACATTTACCATCATGTGATAGTCCTCATGGCCTTCGATGGGTTCGGACACTACGTTTTTAATGGAGCCCATTGGGACTTTCTCCGTTCTCTCTGTAGACAAAAACACACAAATAAAAATCACGTCACCATCGGCATGTTTGTGTTGTGGTGAACTTAGCAAAATGAGGCCAGTTGTAATCTCACCCTTTGTTCCGATCCACAACTGATCCTGCTCCAGCTTGAATGTGAGTCTAACTTTTCCTCCGGACTTGTTAAACATTCCGGATAAAGGCACTGTTGGTAATCGTTCCTGTTAGTGGGACAACGCGGTTAGTCACTGTGTCTGCTATTAAAATGATATAGTCGACTTAACTTCTGTGTGAACGGTTTTGGACTTCTGACTCTCCATTTATCTCCTCTCACCTTTGTTCCTTTAACAGCTGTCATGATGTCATCTGGTTTACCTTTGTCCAAAACTTTCCTGTGTTGCTGAAATAACAGTGCAGGTTTACAATCACAAAACTCAATAAATATTTGACACCACTTGGCAGAAACGCCCGTTAAACTCACCTTTTGTCTGCATAAAGGCTCTTTCTTGTTTTCTTCGGCTTTAACTTCCTGCTGAATTACCTCTTTGGGTGTATTCACAGCTAATACATCATTTATTGTAGACCCTACCACCATTATTTTTGCACCATTTGTAATCTTTATTTCACGTAGCGTCTTGTCCTCTGGAAGCAATCCTTTGTACATCACTTTCTGCATTGCCGGTGGAAGACCTGGGAAGATGAAGAACATCTGTTAAGTGCCGATCGCGCCGAACAGCTGCTGTAACATTCAGCTGAAGGTGAACTGCCGTGTGCTCCTTACCAGTGAGAGAATGGATGCTCTCTTTTAGTTTGGCTCCGGTGTTATCGACAGGAATTTTCAGATCGTATTTATTCTTGTTCCAGATAATCTTCAAGTCCACCATCTCCCGCTTGTCGTCGTCATCGGCGTCGTCCCCATTGCTAATACTAGAGTCCTGAGTTGTGGCGTTTTCTGCATCTGTGTGAGACGTAGTTTCTGTGTCACCCTTTTCAGCATCTTCACCCAGTGGTTCAGCTTCTTTTGACTTTACCTCGGTTTCCATTATGACTTCTTCACTTCCTGAAACAGCATGAAAGCATTGATTTAGAGCCATTAAATGAAATTCTATGAAGCTGGAAGTGAGTGTAAAGTTGTTAGTTCTCAGAATAGCATATCCCACTTCCCCACATAGATTCACATACTCTGAAATACACATCTAGCAACCTAAATACCACAGTTATGCTGAAACAGTATAGAATATATGCAATCTATAAATGGCTGATATATGCTTTTCTAGGAATCCCTCCTGTTCTTCTTTTTGTTAAGTACCCACAATGAAATACGGCCACATGAAGTTTCCCTTAAGGTTTTGAAACTGAAATTAAAACATATTCCGTAAATAATGACAAAAAGAATAGGCAAAACAATAGAAAGAGCCACATTAATCCCTACAACAGCACAGTAGAAAACAATACAAGATAACACAGCATAAAATATATTCTATTGGTTGAAAAGGTGGCTACTGAGCAAACACTAAATAGATGAAAAGGAATCATCTGGACCTGGAAGGCTTACCATCTCTCATATAAAGACAGTCTTGGGAAAAACCCAGCTCAACTTTTTTTCCCCGCTCTCAAATCATACTGCATCTAATGTCTAATTTTAAATAACTTCCAGGGTGTCATTTATTTATATAATTTCACTTTATACACGATCTGCCAAGTCTCTTCTCCATATTTATGGAACAATGGGTTAGAGTTGGTTCTTCAATAAGTAATGGTCGTCAAGAAACCTCTTACTTAAAGCTGCACTCGGTAACTTAGGTAAAAATCACCATGTCCTGACAGTCAGTTTGTTTACAGTTCTTTACAGCCTCTGTTAAATTACATTTGTTTTATCCCCGCATTTCCCCGCACAATACGGCAGCTACGGCACAGAAAGGTCACTATAAGCCAACAGTATAAAGTGTGTAATGAAGTCTGCTTTCGGTTTTTCTGCTCACCCCCTCTCTCTCTATATATCTCTCTATTACTCTCTATCTCTCTCTATCGTGGTCTTTCTAGTTCTTTCCATGGCCGATTTTTTTTTTTTTTTTTTTTTTTTTAAACATCTAAGCAGCAATTCTTATTTGGGTGTTGGTTGAGGGGGGTAAACAAAAGCGAGCGACACTTCAACCTGAACATATATTTTTTTCAAAATGGAAATACGTACTCGCAGAAACATCTTGTAACACGGTTGGCCTTACTGGTTTACAAAAATGGAAACGTTAACGTAACACACTGTACGTCGCTACTTCGTCGTTACCATTCATAACCTAACCATATTTAGTAAGCGCACTGGCAGCAAAGGTTAACCAGTTCAAACCTAACCCTGATTAAACCTTCCAACATTAACTTCAGTCCTCCACAAATGTAGTGAGGTTAGCAATGGTTTACGTTAGCGAGCTAACGTTACAACACTGGTGAACATGTCAAGAGTAACGTTACGGAGAGACGTAAATTCACATTACACCGCACTGATAGCGTGATATATTAACATGTCAACAACAAACATGTGTTATTTCATTAACAGTAGTTCGGCTCAATATAAAGATATGAAGCAAATACTGCTATATTTTCTCAATACCCACCATCCTGGGTCGCCATGATGATTGTGTACAATCTGTTGTACGTTCAGGCAAAGAGATGACAGAGAGCAGGATGAATGTGATATTCAGGAAGCGAAAGTTGTGCTGAAGTGCACCGTTAACTGTGTGACTCCATGGCAAACAGAGAAAGAGCTGTATGTTTTTAAAAGGCCTAACAAGTACAGCTATACTCACCGTCACAACGTTAAAACGTTTGTAACGTTAGTTTCAGTTAGCCGGTGGACTGCAAGATAGAGTGCAAACACGCATGCGCCAGCGACACGAACTAAAATAACTGCAAATAAAGTTGTATTTTCGACTAAATAAGTTGTATTTATCATCAACCAAATGGTATGTCGAGGAAATGTAATTAAATAAGCCTGGCGCAAAACAAAGATTTTCATTGTATTTACTGAAAACACGAACTGTGCGATTTTGCCACACACGGGGATTTGGCAAACCCGGAAGTGAGTCGCAGTACACGCTCTCACTTCGCTACGCTTCTTTGTTGTTGTGGCAGCAAAGCAGACGCCGAGAGGTGGCACTTTACTCAATGGCGATTGGTTGCGTTTTTCTTCTTCCTTGACATTGTATGACGTTTTGTGGTTTAAAATGACGCATTATCGCCAACTATTGGATTCTAGGAAACATCTCCAGCCACCCATCACCAGGCTCTATATGTTGGTGTGAACTTTAAGAGATGGCTCCTTTTTTGTTGGCATTACAATCATTTTGGAAATGTTTGAGAAATACCCAGTTTTACTTACATAATTGTATGAATCTGAAAGTTGTGCCAGAAAAATGTGACAAAAAGTCCAAAAGCATGAACTAATATGCCGGTTGAACAGTTTCAGATGTTTTACTCTAATAATTATGACCTAAACTTCTAATCTCAGATAGGCTACCTCTCTCACTTCATAGGCAATAACTCGAAAGGTTTTTATTTTTGATCTCTCTTTGGCCTATTGCTTTAAAATACACTTATTGTGACTGTTACTTCAGTATGCGTTTCCTGCTTGATCTTTCACTGTCATTGTATTGTTTTATAGCTCTCCTTATCATGTGAGGACCTCATGTGAATACAGTTACAGTTTGTAAATGGGTTCTATGAGCTTGGTCAGGAAATTTCCTCTAATTATCAGTCCATCAACCAGACTGAAATTAATGTAATAAAAAATACACTGATCTCAACACTTGATTGATCTTGTGTTCCATCCTGGTTTAAAAAGTTTCCCTTACTCCCCTTTCTGTTAGAGGCTCTGTGTTTACTGTAGGCCTATTTACACGTGGTTTTATTAACTGTGCAACACTTTCTGTAACAGTATAACAGAAATAAAGTGTCTTCACATCAAAGCCACCTTGCAGTGAACACAGGGACACCAAAAGCTAAGAAATCCTCAGTGTCAGAGGACGGTTTCCCTCCTGAGAATATTCCTCCCGGTTACCTCTGGAAGGCAGCAAAGCAAAATGACTGTAAATGACCTGCAAATTGCACAAGAAGAAGAAGAAAAGGGAAGAAGCAGCAGCAGAGGGAGAGGGTGAGGACAACCATGACGAATAAGAGAAAGGAAGACCGCACAAAATTAGTTTTAATAAAAGTCACAAGTTGTCATGCGTACTTGGTATGACAGGAGGGAAGTGCCTTTATAACAGAGCTACACTGTTGCACTCTGTGCGCTCCTCTGCCCTTTCTGCGCTGCTCTTTGCGCATTAAACTGTAACTAAACAGTCAGCAAAGTCAACTTTTAGTGGCGACACTTTTATCAAAGATGATTCTGGATAATGGTTTCACACGGGACTCTTTCTTAGCTCTGTAGTCGCACAACAGCAACCAATGTGACATGTATTGTTAGGACGGGAAACAGAACGCCATGGCAGACAGAAGGACTTTCAACGTTGTGATTTTGGGTTTGGGATTTCTGTTCATTTTTACCGCCTTCACCACCTGTGGGAATGTTGAAGTAAGTTAAACTTTATTTTTTATGAGTTTTTACTCACCCAAAACCGGTGATTCTTGTACTGTAAGTCCCATTTGTTTTGCTCTGTTGCCTCTCAAAGTGTATTTTCCGGCAACATTAAAAACGGACGCAGCACTGCTCTGAGATTTCTGTTGTTTTTAATGGATCGAACAGATTTCCTGATCCTCAACTCTGTTAAACTCATTTAAATCTCACTTTTGGACCCTTGCTGCTCTTACACACATCTGCCATGCGCAGTTATACAATATATGTCTGCAACGCGCACATTATATATATAAACTAATTATTATTATTAAGTATTGCTAAAGAAAAATAAATGAGTTTTTGTGCCCAAAAAAATATTAAAAAAAATTGAATGTAGGCTGAAATCAATAAATCAATCCAATGGCAGATGTATAGTGAGCAGGAAACGGGCCAATCAGAGCTGTATGTCAGGCGCACCTCGTGTTTCTCATTTTCTTCAATGGTCAGTGAAATTAGCAAACCGGATGAATGACTTGAGGACATAATGATGACCCATTTTGTCCAGACTAACCTGTGCTTTCCCCATCTTATTTTCAGCAAACTGTGGTGAAAAGCCTGGAGAATGGTACTTTCAGTGGGAGTGGGTACCACAGGTAGGTCATGCAGGTCCACAGCTCAGGATGGAGAAAAGAAAAAAAACATTTCATTTTAAAGAAACAAGCTCTTTATTTTAAAGCGAAACTGGAATAATAATTCTCTTCCTTCGCAGTCTGGGAATCATCTATGGGGTCTTTTCTTTCTCCAATTTGCTTGCCCCGACAGTCGTTGCAGTAATTGGAGCAAAAATGACTATGTTCATGAGTGGCCTACTTTACAGGTAACTATTATGATGGTGATTAAATGTTGGATGTAGCTGAGAGGTGTTGCTCCAGTCCTCACTGTTCTACATGCTTTCTTTCTAGTGGGTACATCGCTGTATTCATCATCCCTTCATCGTGGGCCTTTTACTTGACCTCCGTGCTGATCGGTGTGGGAGCAGCCAGTAAGATCCTCTACCATGAGTTTGACTGTAACATCACATATCAAATCGTGTGCACCAGCATGCAGATTATGGTTGAGGAAGTGACTTGTAGCTTTAAAAAGGACATTTTGAGATATCCTTAGAGGGATGGGAAGAGTTGAGTATTACACAGTCCAGGTATATTAACAAAATGAGAGCAAATTACAGTCATTTAGTCTCTTTTGGTTTGTTTATTTTTAATGACTCTCCCCTACTTTTATGATTCAGATTTTAACACTGGGTTATAATGACTAGAATGATTAATTAAGATAATTTATTTTTGATAACAAACTAGCTCACTTTTTTATTGTCTTCATCTTTCGGTTATTTTCTAAACGAAATGCTTTAAAATGACAGAAAATGAAAAAATGGTTATTATAATTTTCCAGAGGGGATGCTGACATCTTCAAATATCATGTTTGGTCCGTCCAACGCTCCAAAACCCAACGGCTACCGTGAATGACAAAGAAAAGCATAAAATCTGTACACTGGAGAAGTTGAAACTTGGAATTTCTGCTTGAAAAATTACAGAAACAATTAATCAGTTATCAAAATAGTTGTCGATTAATTTCCTGTCAGTTGACTGACTTATCAATCAACTAATCGTTTCGGCTCTAGCTTCCAGTTTATTTATATTTTTGTGAAAAAAAACTCAACATTTGAGCAGGATGCAGTAAGCAAACAATGGCCCAAGATACTGAGACGCAGAAATCCTTTAACTTGGTTCTTTTTGGTTTTTGCGGCCTATGCAAGCTAAAAACCCAAATAGTGTTTAATCATGCATACAAGGATTATCATGACTGGGTTGTGTTGATGCGTATAAACAGTATATCCCAAATTAGACCTTAGGGGTGTTAGGAGCTGTTTCTGTAAACAGTGCGCAGCACTTTGAGCTTGCTCATAGATGTTAGTGAAAATACTGAGAAAGCGGCCCTCCACTGAGCATTTAGTGGAAAAATGAAGAAAAATGATTTAGGGCTGTTTTTAATGCAGCCGCAAATCATTGCAGTGTGATGAATTTTTATCATGTCCCAGGGCCACTGTGTGGTTTGATGCATTACTTACCAACACAGAAAGATAATTTTTCACTTCATGCGGGCAATTAACTGACTGGTTAATTTTCCCCCTCAAATGACCTCTCTTACTCACTTCCCTGCAGTGCTGTGGACAGCTCAAGGACACTTTCTGGTGGAAAACTCGGAGGCTTCCACCATTAACAGGAACACAGGGATGTTCTGGGCTCTCTTACAGTGCAGGTATGAAGCTGCTGACACACTAATGCTAGACTCCAGTGTTTCACTCAATTGAGTGGTAATAGATGCAGCCCCAATACCATTACCTCCATGCATTACTTCATTTAAAATTTAAAAGGTTCATTTAAACCACTCTGCATTTTAATACTCGGATTATACTCAATGTGATTCTCTGAGAATGATTTAACTATGGCCTTTAGTGAATGAAATATTCATTTTTTTTATTTGACAATCTAAAAATCCTTCCAATTTGCTTCCAAAACCAACCCAAGGTTGCTATTAAATTACCCTGCCTTGTATTATTTCTTCACATCATTACATTCAGTGCATAAAACACAATTCATCACCATGTATGTTGAGTTTTTTTTTTCTTTTTGTTTGATGCAACTATTTCAGTCGATGTAGGACATCATTATACCGCAGCAGCCAAAATAGGCTACCACCCTATCTGTATTTTTAGCCTGACAGGATATTACTGCATGCTTTATTTTGTCAAAATATAAAAGCCTCTTAATACAGTTCTGCAGGTGAGAGTTTTGGCCTTTTGAGCTCTTATGTTTGGCCCACTGCTCTTGCACACTGGCTTGGACAACTAATTTCTATTTGTTAAAATATGCAAATTGATTTAGTATAATAATTACATTGGCTGTCACCTGTGCCAAAGCTCACAACAGGGCAATGCTAATCTGACTCTGCAGTGGTGATCCCTGCCACAGTAAACTTATGAATCAGTTCTCCACAGCCTGCAGACACATACACAGAATGCAGTTACTGTTGTCTTTTATGAATAACCCCTGTTATCCCTCACTGAGGTTTTGGGACAGACTAATTGCTCATCTACATTTTTTCGTTTAGGTGATATATAATTAAAGACAGAAATAGACTGCAGCAAGTTATAGGACAACACTGTTTACCATGAAAGTAAAATAATAAACAGGTTTAAAAAAAAAATATGAAAGAAGCATCCTTAGAGAAAGAAATGCAGATTATCGTGTTAAGAGAGTCAGTGTTTGATCCAACAACAACAAAAAAAAAACCAGTCCACAGTCCTTCTTCCTCTTCTGTCTGTCAAACATGATTTCTCAGATGACGTTTGAGATAGAACTGCATTGCCATGTGTTAAGGCGCTGATTGTCCTAATAGAAACACTTAATTAAAAGGTCAGAACTTTAAACTGTGAAAGACCCAGAGTGCTACGGCAGGATTCACATAAAACACTCCTGTACACAACAAACTGCACAGAGGAAATTACACTTAAATGTTAGACTGAGATCTTATTACACTGATTATGACATTTGAGGAAGGATTTATCTGGTCCCTGATTTCTGATCTAATTTCTGAGGCACAAAATTGAACTTTCTTGGAAAACCCAACATGCCTTTAATATCATTAGTAGTTATATAATATCTGTGTGTGTATTTCATTTTTTTTTATGGATTATTGTGAGATATTGTTTTGATTATTTATTACGTGAAGTGCCTTTTTTGTTTTAAAGTCATTTGCTCATTTGACCCATTTGTATCTTGTTTACAGCATGTTGTTTGGCAATCTTTACATTTATTTTGACTGGAACGGAAGAACAGAGATATCAGGTAGGGTTAAACCCGAGTAAATACTCTGATAACTGTAATAACAAAATCTAGCCTGATGATGAAAGCAAAATATCAAGAGGATTATGGGAGCGATTGGTTATTCTGAATACGCCATAGCTTAATGTTGTTAATATATCTTGTGTATTTTAATTAAGCGGTTTATTTTAATCTTCCTCTCTCAGACAGCAGCAGGAAAAACATTTTTCTGTCCCTGTTGGTCGCCTCCGTGCTCGGCACACTCAGCTTTCTGGTGTTGAGAAAGAGCCATCACGAAGAGGAGATGCTCTCTGAAGAGGAAGGGCAGTCGCTGCTCTCCACTCCGATGATGTAAATGAATATCCTTTAGATAATTACATGTTTTTCACTGTAGTCTCCACTCGGAATATATAAAAACGTCTGAAAAGGGACACAGAGGGTATGGGCCTCAAGTGATGAATAAAAAGTGTTTTATATACAAATATATTAGAGTGAACATGAAAAAAGTGAATTTACCTTTCATACAGTTTACAGCGGTAAGCTACGACCAAACCACTTATGGAATTATTACTTTTTCAAACAAGCCAACTTGAATTTTGCAGGGGTTTTCAGTTGACTTACCTCTGCAGTTCTGCAGGAGTTTTAAACCACTCTTGTCCTTCACAAAAATGACACCGACCATTTTTCTCCAGATCACTGCAATTTTGACAGTCAAGCCTAATCATTGCACTTTATACAAGTTGGCTGCAATCAGGCAGATTTAGGGCAGCCGGGATGGAGACTTTCTCTGTGAGAGTGACAGCGGTGAGAGACCCCAAACTCTCCAGGCTACTTTATTTCAGTCATATTTCAATTTTTATGACTTGAGTCTGGACAAAGTTTGACTCAAATAACTAGTTGAAAGAAATATATGTCTGGCATCAAAGACCACTGAAAGTAATGGAAAAATAGCAGATCATAAAGAAATCTTACCACTGTGCTAACTTTGGACACAAACTTATTCTCTTAGCTTGTTTCTGTCTGTCTTAAGGCAGTTTGCAAACTGTTTTGGTATCTCCGAGGAGTTGCAGTTATCCCATCCTTATTGGCTGAATTTGAGTGTATGTATGATTTTAACATAGTGATGAATCCTATGGGGAGCCATCATTTAAAAACCACCTTTTCTAAGGTATGTTTGGATTTAAAGGAGTCCAGCTAAAATCTCAAATGTCGCATTGATTTGTAAATTACATCACTTCTATCATTATCATTATTTGTGTGTGGAGTTTATTGTATATATTTATTAACTTCGGCTCTGTAGAAGTTGATTTGTTTTCTGTTGTTTAGGTATAAGCACAGAGCAAACACGGCCCTGCAGGACGCCAAGTCAGAGTTCAGTAAGTTTGATCCGTGCTTTTGGAATACCACACAAGAAGTAATACTCACTTACACTGCATCAGCATGCATTTACTGTATCCACATATAGTTTACCATATAGTAACAGGACTAATGGTGTGTCCTTAATCAATACTACATACTCATTCTAAGCAGGTTTTTAGTATGTATCGTGTTCACACCCGAAAAGTGACAAAATGAAGTATGCTCCATGCAGACAGTATGCATACTAAATACGATCGATTTTTGAGGATGCTGTTGATGCACATTGTTCTCCCATGATGCAATGCAGAAACAAAATCGTGGAGCTACTCTCAGCAGGGGGAGAATGCAAATGAATCGTGGGTGCTGGGGAGACAGCAACAGCCACAAAATAAGTGTAACTATAAATGTCCTATAAAAAGACATTTTGCTGTCTATTTGTGAAGTCTAACCGTCAGTGATGTTCCAACTTGTCCAAGACAGTTGCGTTTGTGTTGTGTTGCATCATTTCCTTTGAGCATAATATGTTAGGTATGTTGATATCCTTGTAGTCTACTGCTAAAATAAATTAATTTGCACAAAACTTTAGGTACAGGTGAGGATGACATTTTGACCTGATGGTCCTGGATAAAAAGTCAGGGCAGTTCATTTCATCCTGAAGAGATCATGAAATCAAATGTAACAGCAGTCCGCCCAACAGCTCTGGAGACGTTTGACCTCATGGTGGCGCTAGAGGAAAAGTCAGGGGATCACAAAAGTCTTTTAAGATTCATCTTGGAACCACGAACAATTGTGTTTGAATTCATCCATCAAATGTTGACATTATTTTAACTGGATGAGTGAAAACCTTAACCTGCTGGTGGCACTAGAGGAAAAGTCAGGGGGATCACTAAAGTTAGTGGGATACCCCCTCTGAGGAGCACAAATGTCTGTAGAAAATAATCATGTACCATCATCCACCTATTATTGTTGAGATACTATATTTCAATCTGGACCAAACTAGTGGACTGACCGACCAGCACGGTGCACTCACTAGCTTTTCCTCGCAGTGTAAATTTGCATCATCTGCGATACAGATTTTCCACATCTGATATAAAAATTACACAAAGCACTAAGGACCTTACAGAAATGTGTGTTATATTGCTTTTCTTTCTCAGTTGTTTGGCATATTACAAGTAACCTCTAGTTTTCCACAGTTCACTGCTCTTAGTCTCTGACACTAGCTGGCAGTTTTGTTTTTCTCCTGGTGAAAATTGCTTTCATCTGGATAAAACTCTTCTAGCATTACAACGAGTACACAACAAAACTGCCTGCGCCAGACTATTTCAGATCATATCTCTGTTTGTCAACAGGAAACTCTGCTGCACTTGCACCTGCCTTCAGTGCAGCCTGGAGTTGTTTGGATGATCAGATTGCTCTTTGTCTTGCGTGTATCTCGCGTGCATGTAAACCTGTGTACACCTGCCTTAAAGGTATCGGTTTTATCTAAGATGAACACTGATTTATGTCAAGAAAGGGCATCCAGGCATCTATAAACAAACCTTGCGGGATTTTTTCTTTTTAAAATCTGAATTTCCCTAACTGCCTGAGTGAAATTCTCTCTTGGGTGTTTCTCCACCTGCATTTAAATGTGGCTTTTTGACATATCGAGAAAGAGTTTTTTTCCATCTTCTATCTGCGTTGAACTTTAGTTGTCAGAGGGTAATGGGGCCTTTTATCTGAGCTCAATCCAGATGTGTGTAAGTGTTAGATATATAATATGTATTTATTAGCAATTCAGATCGGTGTATTGTTTGTCCTCCTGTTCAGAAACCATCCTGCAACTTCTGAAGGCTAAAACGATACTGCTCCTGAGTCCCTGCATGGCGTACAGTGGTAAGTTGGATGGAGAATGCATTAATGTATTAATTGATTAAGTATCTTAACCTCCAGTGAAGACATACAGCTATCACATACACTCTTTGTTCTCCAGGCCTGGAGCTATCTTTCTACAGTGGTGTGTATGGGACGTGTATTGGAGCGACTACACAGTTTGGAGAAGCTGCTAAAGGCTTGATTGGGATGTCTGGGATTGTGGTAGGCATTGGAGAAATTGTGGGTAAGTTTAAGTTCCTCTGCCGAGGTGTTTTAGCTGATTTCAATTCACCCGAGGTAACTGAATTCATAAATACGTTCTTTTTCATCAGGTGGAGGATTGTTTGGATTGTTGTGTAAGAACAATCGCTTCAGACGGACCTCTGTGGTGTTTCTGGGAATGGTCGTCCATTTCGTGGCTTTCTATCTGATCTTCCTCAACCTCCCAGATGATGCCCCTGTCGTCTTTAGTACCACCACCCAAAAGAAGCCATATCTAACACCGAGGTAGTTCATTTTTCTAACAGGTTAACAATAAGAAAGAGTGAACATGTGTAAGGCCAGTCACGATTCTGTTCTGTTTTAATGATTGTATTTTGTCTCTCAGTGTATCCATTGCCCTGCTGTGCAGCTTCTTGCTTGGACTCGGGGATAGTTGTTTCAACACACAGCTCTACAGCATATTAGGCCGTGTTTATGCTGAACAAAGCACGCCTGCTTTTGCCATCTTCAAATTCATCCAGGTAATCCCGAGTTGCCAATTCTCCGACGTTGTTAGCAGAGCTGAGCAAAGCTGGGTTGAAATGTTGTCTTGTCAAGTATGAAATAAATTCACCTGAAGCCCCATTAAAAAGGGAAAAGAACAAGACCCAAATACGCTGTTTAATCCCTCCCTTTTCTTTACTGAAAAATTGGTCTCTAAGAAGGAATAAACCCTAGAAATGGTGGTATTTTCTTAAAGTTCAACTGAAATTAAATAGCATTTTTGTCTGCTACAGCACACGTACCTGTTCATATCTCTAAGTCACTTGTCAAAAAATCTGCAAACAAGAGAGAAATGGTTTTTTTTTAATATTTTTTGGTTTCATGATGACAGTAGGGGTACTGTGGCATCAATTTAATGACATACCACTTGGTATCGGTCTACGTAGATAGAAACTTGTTTGAACTCTTGTTTTCTTTTAAACATTAATATAACAATAACTTAGTTATTGTATACAAGAACAAATAGTTAAATAATAAGATTTCATTTGCATGAAAAAAATTAATTGCACAAAACAAACCTATGAACTTTTAAGCCGACGACTACGGATTTTGTTGGCTCAACTGTCGCTACCAGATTTGATGAGCTGTAGCTAGCTAGCATAAGCTAATGCTAATTCAAAAACTCTGTAAGTTGGTGGAAAACTCCTCCTCCAGCCGACCTATTAATACAGTTGATTCATTTAAAGCATATAAAGAAATGACTTAAATCTACATAAAATAGCTGCATACATGATGCAATGTTCACCTGTCCATGATAAAAACATCATATTGCAATTATTTTGACAACTGCGATATGATTCCCAGTTATATACATTTGATTTCCACTAAAATATTTACCAAACAAACATGTTTTCTCAAATCTGGAGAACAGGATTACTAGACCAGGGCATCTCTGCTGAACCACAGTAGCCTACTGCATTATAATGCTGTTTTGTCACACATTTTACACAATAAAAAAATTGCAGCTTCCTGAAATTTGCATATTGCACTTGGCCAAATTGCAATTTTAATAATATTGCAATTAATTGTGCAGCCCTACTGATCTATCTAAATTAAATTATTGAAGTATAAACTTAACTATACACTCAGATATCATAGCATTTCACTCCCACAAGGTGAGAGTTTTAGTCCTGAGCAGGTGTTTTTCTAACACAACCTGTAAGCCTACAAAATATCACAGTTAGCTAGGTTAGCTATTGTAAGTTGTAAGCGAGTGAGCCTGACGTGCTAACATTTGCAGCAACAGTTGCTCAGCTGTGATTGGACAATCGCTGTTTGGGGAGGGGTTTAGTGACAGTACCATGGGGATCTGACAAAGCAATGGTGGATGGAGAATATAATATGTAATGCTTCCTAGGGGTTTCACTGTTGCTGTGTGAATAACTTTATCTACCAATCAGGAAAATAAAACCCCTCCTCCTTCGTCAGTCTGTTTTTGCAGCAGTGGCGTTCTTCTACAGCGGTTACCTCCTGTTGATGTGGCAGCTCCTGCTGATGATCATCCTGGGCTTCACTGGAACGCTCTGCTTCTTCGTGGTGGAGAGGATGCAGAACTTCTCTGTAGATTTGCAGGAATATTAGAAAGAAGACATTTCTTTATGAGCACTGATTTTTTTTTCAGGAGGAAGAAAAACAATCCTGCATCTTTTATTTCGTGAGGGGTTATTTTAAAATCTCTTTTTATTATAATAACGCACTAAAGGTCATATACATTTGGATAATGTATACATTCAAAAATTGTTGCCACAACCTTAAGGAAGCTGTTTTAATAGTATTACATGGTTGTCAGTCAGCTCAGATTGTACCCTGCACTTTCTGTTCTAATTACCGGTCACTATGAGCATCATTGTTAATCATTAACATTATTTTTCCACTGCACCGTTGGTCTTACCATAGGATTTAAAAAATAACCACTCACCTTATCTCGTGCTTGTCTGCATTGCTTCCAGCTCAGGTTTATTAGTAAAGACAAAACTATTTTATGTATCAAAAACAATTACTTAATAACTTTTAAAGGTGTTCATAGTTCCTCAGACTGATTGACAGTTTGATAAAGGTAGACGAGAGAATGGTAACTAATTAATGCCTGACAATCATTGTCAACTTTTTGTAAATTTTGCATGTTGTTAATTTCTTTTCTCCACAATTTTGAGGATCTTTGATGAATAAAGTTCTGTGCATTTTGCATTGTCAGTGATGTATTATTTTGTGATGAACGCAGTTCAGATGGGCGAGATGTAAAGCACAGTAAAGGCCACTGAAAACAAGTGAAGGTTTGAGCTATTGATAAATCTTAACCTGCTGTCAGTCTCAGCAGGTTTATGGAATCATCTGTATAACTTGCAGGAGAAAGGCATGCAACTGTTTTTTTGTTTTGCTTTTACACCAGTCTGTGTTTCAGATTTAAGTGGATTTACTCACCATAAGGTAGCGAGTGTACATCTGGTCGGCACTTTATCGTATCCCCAAACAATATAAATCTCCTGGATTTAATCCTGATTTGCCAGATTTATTTGAAAATCCATGAGGCCATTAATCAAAAGAGAAACAGGAGGAGAAGGTCTTGGTGGAAGAGAAAGGGTTATAGGCCCAGAGGTCCCACATTACTTCACTGGTAATTGAGTATTGATTACATTATAATGAGAGTAAGCAGTTTTGTGCAATCTTAAGTCAATTGTGCCACTTACTTGACAACAACAAAGCACTGATGGGCTAAGTGAAGTATACAGCATTTACTCACTGAATTAAATTCTGGCAGGGTTCATATTATTGGTTTAGAGAGATAACCTTGTAAGGAAAGTAACTAGGTTTGGATAAGTCTATTACCCGAACACCGACATGTCTAATGGTAAATGGTAAATGGTAAATTGACCTGTATTTGTGTAGCGCCTTTCTAGTCTTCCGACCACTCAAAGCGCTTTTACACTACATGCCACATTCACCCTTTCACACACATTCACACAGATGATGGCAAAGTCCATCAAACAGAAACTAACATTCATACACATTCACACATGCACAGCATCGGGAGCAATTTGGGGTTCAGTATCTTGCTCAAGGATACTTCGACATGTGGCACCAGAAGCCGGGGATCAAACCCACAACCTTCTGATTAAAAAATGACCCACTCTGCCTCTGAGCCACAGCAGCCATTAGTTATTCCACAATGTCTCTCAATTGAAAATCATAATGTAATAAATAAACAGAACCTTCACACATTTTGTCAGCAGCACTATTGTGGAAGCTGTAAATTTATGCGCTCTTCATCTTTTAGCATGCATGTATGAGCACATCCTTATCACATTAACAAGCACTTAGAGAAAAGACAGTTTAAACCCATTACATGTTTTACATATGCAGCAAATTGCCCAAGTTTGGTTTAGCCATTTTTCCTCATCTTTCAGACTGTAATTTCTCTCTTCGCACTTAGAATTCTCACTCATCTCTTCAAAATCAGGGAAAACAGCAAATTCAATTTTCTTGAGCTGTTTTGTTTACTGAAATATTCCCACACAACTCTCCACCTTCTCCTCAGAAGTAGTCTGCCTTGTGCAGCCTTGATTTCCCAGAACACTACTTTAGCTGACTGTGAATTTGGTTGAAAAGCAGATCAAATGTGTGCAACACTGCTGATCTATTTCATTTTGTCACATCCTCACATATTCATGGTTCTAATTAGAGGGCTTGATGGGAATGGACCTACGGGATACACGACTGGGGCTTGTCAGAGGTCTGATATCTGAAATGAAATGCTGCTGTCTTTGTAGTCAGGTGTTGTGTTTTTGGTGCTCGACAAGAGTTGTACTGTCAGGGTACTTAACCAATGAGCCAGTTTTAATTTGAAAGTCTGTCTGTGCCCAGAGGATTAATTCATTTAATTTATTATTTTTCATCTGTGACCTGCTTGATTGCCTCAGACTGTCAGTTTAACCGGAGACCGGTGTTTATTACCACATTTTTATACCTGTAGCTCACTCGGTTATTAAATTTGAAGACTTGCCTCATTTCCATGAATTATGGAAATCACACATCTGAGGATATTTGTAGGAATAAGGTCGAGAACACAATTAAATAAGCCAATTTGAAAAGAGAAACATATCCTATCAAATTAGATGACTAACAACCCTCTAAATTATATGCAGGATGAAATTAGCACAAACAGTTTTAACTGCTCATTTGTTTGTTTTTTTTCCTGCTGGTGGCTTTTCGCACAATAGATGTTGTTGCAATCATCATCACAATTAAACTAATCATTCAGCAGTGTGTGTTCATTGTTCACGGATCAAAAGGTTTTGTGTGATCGGTGGCTGTCCTAAGATTTACGAGAATTAGCCTCCAATTAGTTAAAAACTTCAGACTGATTTCCTCCTACAGCAGCAGAAAAAACAAGCTCGACTCAAATTTTATTCTACAAAAATAACTTTTTATTATGGATCCGCAGTCAGGACCACCAGAAGCTGACAGAGAAGCTGAGCTCTAAGGATCGGACGTAATGCCAGTGTCGGACAGGGATGAACAGGACTTCTCCGGGCTGTAACACACATTCAAGATACGGAGCCTTGGCAAACTCTGGGAACCGCTCTGTGTCAGGATTCTCCACCTCCACCTGCACGGAAAGAGTCAAAAAATGGAAATTCTGAATATATTTGTAGGCGAAACATGTACCGTCTCTATGGACTGTCAATCCCACCTGACTGGTGTTGTGAAGGAGCTGGGATTGATGAGGGTACAGCTTGTCTGTGTCGTCTGGGGAATATAGGCGGATGTATTTGCTTCCCACCACCTGATGTAAATATATAAGGGGGGGAATCCCATGTGGTAAACAAACTGCGATCACGGGACAGATCTTTTGACATTAAATGGATTCAGAGAGCAGCATTGTTAATGTCACCTGAGCCAGGAAGTTCTGCTGAGGGTCCTGGTGAAGAGGAGACACTGTACCTCCGGGCCCAAACCACGCGTTTACAGTCATATCGTCTTCCTCTCCTTCGCCGAGGCAGCAGTAATCAGGCGGGCGGATGTCTTCCTTCAGCTCTGGTATCTAAGGCAACATCAAACAAACAAAATCACATCAAGAGGGCATTTTAGACTCATTTCACTGACTAAATAATATATTGTTGTTTCTTACCAGAACATTTGGCAAAGTAACACAAATTAAAATGTTTTGTTTTTTTATTTCTACTCTGCATTTGCTGCTGGTATTTTAAGTTAAATGGCTTTAGGTACGGCAATAGTGGTACTACTACTACTACTACTACTGCTGCTACTACTACTACTACTGCTGCTGCTGCTGCTGCTGCTGCTGCTGCTGCTGCTACTACAAACTATTGGATGGATTTGCCATAACATTTGGTGCACATATTCATTGTTATAAATACAGAGGATGAAGCTTACTGACTTTTGTGATCCCTGACTCTTTATATAGTTAACTATTTCAACAATAATTAGGTGAATTGTCATTAAACTTGGTACATGAACCCTGCCAGAATGTTCCCCTCAGGGTGAATTGTGATAACTTTGGTGAAACCTGTGACTTTTAGGGATGCATGATAATTATTGGGGCTGCTAAATTACCAGGTCGATAATGATACTATTGTATTGTATTCCAAAAAATAAATAACAGCCGATATATGTGTAACTCTACATAGTAGTGTATGTGTCTATGTTGCCGAGCCTGTTTATTTATGCTTATTCTGTGTATGCGCATTGAGAGCAAGGTAAAGTCAAATTGCTTGTGTGTGTGTGTGTGTGTGTGTGTGTGCACATACCTGGCCAATAAAAGTGATTCTGATTCTAAAGCCAAAGTATGTTTGTGAAGTTTTTTGATGTATTTTACTAGAAATAAAATGAATGAACATTTAAAGAGCCAGAACAGTTTTTGTTGTTAGGTCAGAGAATCACCCGTCATTGCTCAATACATCTTAGCCCTTCTTGCCATCAAGTGTGCATAAACTATAGGTTTAAAAATGTTCATAACCTATAAAAATGTTGTTAGCCATGAGAAGCAGGTAATTATCGGTTAAGTTTAAGAACCACCGATGTAAGGTAACATGAAGCCGGACATTGCCGTCACTAAAATAACAATAAGGAGTCAACAGATGGCATTTAGCTTTCAAGTGATTCACTTTATAGTATGTGCCATTAGATAGGTACTCCAAAATCCCAACATCTCGTTTGGTCAGTTTTTATTAGCAATAATTATTAGTATTAGTACTAATGACACTGTAAAGTCAGTTCCTAGATAAAAATAAACAAAGGTGATTACTGATGAGGAAAAATTTGTATGAGTGATCCTCGTTTGGCCTCATTCGTTCTGAACTGCCCAAAATACCCAACTTTTAGCTTGACAAGGTGCCCTTTTTGTAAAGTTCACTTCAGACAATGTATCGACTTCTACGGTAAAATTAGGACTAAAAAGTCAATACTGTTGAAAGCAATGACGTGTGAGGATGAAAGCTGTAAAAAAAAAAAAAAAAAAAAAAAGGACAATTCTATTCTTCATAGTGCCGGAAAATATAAGCTGAATAATCAATTAGTGAGCTGAATGAACAATTTATTCTTTTCATAATCAGGCAGTCATTTCCAAAGAACATACAGCACCATACCTGATCAAAAAGCTGGTGCTGAGCGAGGTAACCCACACCTTTCTCTTCCTCCTGGGTGATTTTGATCCGCAGAGCAAATTAAAACCAAAATACTGTTTTAGAGATTACATGGAGACGTTTTTTTTTTTTTTATCTTGTTCGTGTTCTTTGTCCAATACAGAGGCAAGAAGACGGCACTTACTTTATTTAAAATGTATCGGTCAATGAATTCATTGACCGTAAGCAGTGTTTGTGACCACTCCTCGTCTGTGTATCTGGATCCCACCTCAACGGGAACAGTCCGACAACCAGCGACAGACCTCAAGTATTCTATGCTTTGTGGTGGTGGGGGGGGAAAGGGGAGAAAATAAATGAATTAAACATTACGTAATACTACAGCATAATTCATAAAGAAAGAAATCTGGTTATTCAGGATTCTAGCACTGCTCGAAAGTACGTGTGCACTTCTGGATGTCCTCCTCCACCATCAGAGGTGAAAGTCGGATGCCAGGAGCCGTATGTCAGATGTCAAAGTGAATAGTCAGCTGTCAGGAGTCGGCAGTGAGAGGGAGGACAGTGAAGGATATTCTTAAATGGAAAG